TGGGAGGGGGTTGTATGTAGATTACTGTGCTCAGTTCCCTCCTTCCCCTCCTGGGATCATTACTCTCATTATTGGTCCTATGGGGTTTATCGGTCCTGGATTCCTTGTGTTTTCAGCTCTTATCTATACCAGTGTATACAATTCTTTAGTCATGTATAATTTTTAAAACCAGGACAATAGTAAAGTCATATTTTTGCCTAACAAGTTTAAACTAAAAGGTAAGCAACTCAAAACGTGCCAGCTTCACTTAAACATAATATTCTACAGGCAAACAAAACAAAAATTCTATGTCTAATAATTGCCATTAAGTGAACACCTACACCATAATCCTACAATCCTATGAGCATATTCCCCCTTCCATGGAAGCTTGTAAGCCAGCTACATCACGCCTTTATCCTCCCATTTTGGGTATCCAAAGTCTGTATTGTCCACTTAAATCAATCCAGCACTCTGAGGAGAGAAACATGTTTTTCATGTAAAGAACCTTCATTCCATTTGGATCCTTGGGGGTCTGCATCCATAAGCAAAGTCAAATCAGGACAGGTCATTCATAAAGTCAGCATCAATATGCACCCATTCACAGGCTCAACGATCTTCTCTTCATCTGGTCGGGTTCTGCTCAACTCAATATGGCCTGCCTCGCTTGATCTATTGGATAGGGCAGAATTATCCCTGTGTTTTCCAATTATCCCTGTAACCCTTTATGGAAGTAGTAAACCTGGTCTTTCTCTCCGGGAGCTGCTGGTGTTTTTGAACTACCAACAAGGTGGTTGCAGTCCAATGCATAACCCCTACAACTCCAGGATGACTTGAGCACACTGGAAAGAACGCAGGAAAACACTGAAGGAAGCAAACCTGCACACTGCAATTAAGGAAGATAATTCTTCCTTGTTTAAATTACCCATGCTCCTGAAAAAATGTGTATGATACAAAAACTCAGGCAAAAAGGTAAATAAATAATTGGCTTAATTTTAAATCATGAAAAGTATGCATCAGGGTAATACCCTGTCACCATATTTACTCCATCTGTATGCTGACCAAACAAACTGAGAAACTGGACTATGAAGAGGAGTACAACATCAGGATAGACAGAAGGCTCTTTAACAACTGTGATTTGCAGGTGACACAACCTTGCATGCTAAAAACCATGAGAACTTGAAGCACTCACTGATGAAACTCACAGAGTACAGCCTTCAGTATAGATTACTACTGTGTGTGTGTGTGTGTGTGTGTATCCCATTTGAGGATTCCCCACCCCTCAAACTAGACCAATAGACAACACTATGATAAACAGAGAAAAGATTCAGGTTTCAAGGTTTAATTTTACTTGGATCTATTATCAACACTCATAGAAGCAGCAGTGAAGAAATCAGCAACTAACCTCGTAGATGAAAGGTGAACAATGAACAGAGAAGACCAGAGAAAAATCGATACATTTGAATTATAGTGTTGGAAAATCATACTAAATATC